CGGGGCGCGGGGACTGCGCGCTGATTGGCAGGGGTCGCGCGGCTCCGCTCAGGCCCCGCCAAAGTTGGTGCTTGTCCTTCCAAAAAGCCGGGCGGGGGCTGGCGGCGACGGCGGCGCGCTCTGGCGGCGGCGCTTGTGTGGCCAGGGCCCGGCTGGCCCTTCTGCGCTTGGTCTTGAGCACGCGCTCGGTTTTGCAGGAGGTATAGAGGGCTTCCACGTCTTCCCGGGAGATGAGCGTGCATTTGGCGGCGTGGAAGGCAATGCTGTTGATCGCCTTGAGTTTCCTCAACTCCTCCAGATCGCAGTGGTGCTTTTTCACTTTCAGATGATCCATGCGCTTGTGCACGGTTGTCCTCGGGATGTTTTTCAGCAGATCCGTGAAGACTTGGGAGAGGGCAAACATTTGCTTTCCTTTAATGATGAGGTAGCCGAGCCTCACGCCATCCACCTCTTCAAAACCTGACTTCAGGTCTCCCATCTCGGGCACTAAATGATCCCCACCATTTGCAGTAAATATATACGTGACGCATACATACACATGTATGTATGTTAATCCTCCGCCAGATGCTGCGTGTGTCTCAAGGCATCCTGCTAATAAAATAACAAAGATTGTTATTCCCGGCGAAGGGAGTGCCAAACTCTAGGCAAAATTATTGGGGTAGGAGGGAACCCATGAAATTACACTGACTTGATTCTTGCTTTTTTTTTGGTTTTCGTTTTTTTTTAAAAAGAGGGAGAAAACCATCCGGCTTCTGATCTGCCAGTGTGTTGGTCTAAGTCCCCGATGCAGATCAGTACCTGGGCCCCTCTATTCCTTCCTTCTCCATTGGAGCACTATGATAATGGAATGTGAAGGGAGAAAGAGAAAAGAAATGCAGCTGCTATTCCCGCCGCTGCTTTAGCTACAAATAAAATGACAGAGTGAAGTGAGCTCGTCCGGAGACACCTTCATCAATTAATTCCTCTAAAGCCGGCGCTGATTGGACACTCCTGACAGGTGATGCAATAAAAATTGATATTCCACCCCTTCCCCCCAAAATCTCCCACTAATTAGCATACCCTTATACTGCCACCTCCCCTCCCAAAGTAAATAATACAGTCGGTATATAAATCTTTCCATTAAACTATCGGAGCTCAGAAGCAGCTTGACTCACAGACTTCATCAGAAGGAGTGTGTGTACGCTTAAAAAAACACCACTGTATATTCGCCTTTAAAGGAATATTGCCTTTTTTTTTTTTGCATTATTTGCATTTTACCGATACAGCTATTATCATTTCAAAGGAAAGGGATTTTAAAAACATTATTAAGCCTAAATAGATATTCCCCACCCCCTTTTTCTTTGGAAAATGGAGCTTAAGCGAAAATGTGCAAAATAGCTAAATGTGCAGAATAGGTTGGTATTTCCCTTGTGGGAGTAGGGGAGACCGGCTGGGAGCTCCAAAGTTAAACCCGCGCGGTGAACCACCCCAACACACTTACGTTTTGAATTTCTCTCGATTTTCCTTTTTCACTGAAATGCCTTTTACAACCAGAGACAAAGTTATTTGGCCAAGGAAGCAGTGCAGGGCTCCAGCTCCGAAACACTGTAACAATTCAACTGGATTTCGGTTCTCTGCTATGGGGGGAGGAGGTAGTTTCACGTCAGACTCATAACAAAGCATAGATAAGCCAGAAATGTGTACACTTTTCACAATTAACCGGGCTGGATTGCAGGCGGAATAGTCCTAGAGTCCCCAACACAGCTTTTGCCAGGGTCCTGTTCTCGACAGGTCAGAATTCCAGGGAGCAGATTGCTTCTGCAGGCAGCAAAGAAAAGAAAATGTTAAACACCCTAGGTGCTTCCAGAGGTTTTACGTAATAACGATGGAAAAGGGGGGGGGGGGGCTGATGTATGTTGCAGACCATTTCAGTGGTCCATGATGCTTTTGGTAGGTAGTTTAAAAGTGAATCTTCCACAATTCCCCCCCCCCCGTTTTTCCTCCATGAAACCCAAGTATCTGGTTTAAAAAATCACTTGGGATGAGTATCAATATGGTTTAACCTTTCCTTAGTCAAATTAAGGCATATTTTGGTGTAATTTCCAAGGATATTCAAAATATTGCCAAGTGAAAGCAAGAGTCTTCCCAGTTGCATTACCACGATCCCAAGGCGGTTTGTTGGCTGCTTTGCAAAATACGGCAAAATTTTCTTAACTGTCCAACGTTTGCAACTACAGCATAAATGCAACCCAGGCATTTATATATTTCCTTGTTCCTCCAAAAATAGATACATCCGTGTGGCTAAAAGTATAAACGGATATTTCTGAGGCTTCCAGAAAAAAAATTGTGCGATAATTCCTTCCAATTCAAAAGTTCCAGCTTCTCCTGCTCTGGTCTGGCTACCATGAGCAGGTATGGTTCAAAAAATAAATAAATAAAAATAAAAACAGAGGAATTAGACATACAGAAAGGTAGTTTGCTTGATAAAAAGAAGTCTCAGCCGTAGTTCCCCACCCCCATCCCTCTTGCAATTTCCCAGGAATTCTGAAGAGAATTGGGAATTTCAAGAAGTGTATCCGGAAATTAAGGAAGTCTATTTAAGAGAGTCTGTAACTCAGGAGGCTGGGATTTGAAAAGTCAGCCCTGGACTACTGTTGCACTCAGCACAGATGTAATCGCCGCTCTTCAACTTAATCAATGTGTGTACAAACCGCGATGTCTAGTTCTTGCCTTTGAAATCTAAGGCTAGCATTTCCATCCAAGAAATCAGAGCTACAGCAAATTACATTTTTGTCCCTTGAATGAGAGAAGGATCACTGAATGGATCTCGTGATATTTCAGGCTTTAAACGTAACCGAGAGGCAGCAATGAACAATGCCTCGTCACAGCTAATACCATCCACCGAGTTGGCTTGCTTTTGCATCTGGATCTATCACACCGCGTTTTTCTCTTTCACTTTCACAGGAGGCAAAATGTAAAACCTTTAAGCAGAAAACAAAGTTTCCACGAAAAGCAGATGCTGGCGTTTGTTTTTACAGTAGAATGACCAGAGTCTTTCTATTGCCAGCGACAATAATGTTTTAAAATTCCTCCCGATGCACTTATATACTGCCAGCTCTCCTTCCTCCCACCCCTCACTCCCGCCCAATTCCCCTCCCCCAGCTTTAAGATTTAGACCAAAGAGTCGAACAGCCAAGAAATAGTAAACTCAGAAAAAGCCTTTGAGAAGACATTTCAAAAGGTTGGGTAAAGCGTCCTTTTTGCCAGGTAGCTTCAGTTGTTCTTGATTTCTATTTAGATTCATACACACAAGCACACACAAACTCACACCCCTACTCCTACACATGGCAATGTGATTAAATAACCATTTCAAAATTACCTTCTTTTCCTCTCTCTTCCTCCTTGTCCACCTTTAATATACTGAACATACTGGTAGTTTTTTTAAAAAACTACTAGTATATTAAATCTTAAAAAACGAACTAAAAATATAATCTGTTGGGTTAAATAGAGAAAAATAAAGGCCAAGAGAATTGGGAAATGTGTCTATGAACACTATATATGTGATTATCTTTGAATATGCACTCAGACACCTTTACACTTAAACATTTTAATACTCCTATTACACATCTTTTTTCTTTTCTAATACATTCTTTTGTTCCTTTAACTTCCCATCAGGGTGTGAGTGTGTGTATGTGTGTGTGAAGGCGCGTTCTTGAGCGCGCACACATAATATGACAGACAGCTTTCTTGTGGCCATCAGCACACATTGCATATCCGGGGTCTTCTCCAGGCACATTGGGGGTCGATCCCGATAAAAAGATCTAGCAGAGGCCCCTGAGCGCTCACACATGAAAGGCAGGGGACTTTAAGATGGATTTGCATGCACACAGGGGATTTCGATCAATAGCTACCAACATTTATGGGTTAGATTATTAATGCGAAAGCTAGCCAAAAGAGTGTGGATGAAAAATTAAAGGTGTCTGTTATCAATTATGCTTAAAGTTATGCAATAATTTACTTACTCTTCATGGATGTGCAGGTCCAGATGTATGTAGTACTATTCCTCAAAAGCCAGAGGTTTCTTTGAAAAATTTGTTGACCATGTCAGCCACCTCTACAACCAAAGATGAATGCAATTCAGATGATAGAATGCATTCAAATTCTTTTAAGGAAAAAAAAATCTATCAATTTCTATATTTCTTAAATGCATGTACATATGTGAATGGAAGTGCTAAAGTAACACTTGTGTACATATTCATCTCTGTGGGTCCCTGAAATCACTTATTGTGACTTTAGGCAGATATATATGCAGTGAGTTTGTTAATTAAATGTGATTATTTACTTAGTGAGGAATGCATAATCTACGTGCTAATAAAAAGTATTTGAGCTTTGAAAATAAAGCTGCTTGCTAAAGGAAAATCCTTTTCTAGCAAGTACAGATAGAAACATATTCTTAATGTCTACATACTTCTGCATTTATTGTAAAAAAAATCAGCTTTCAGTTTTTAAAGGGATGGGCTGTGAAGATAGGAAAAAATTTATTTACTTATCCCATATGAATGTGCTAAATTTACCTCTAGATGGTCTATTTTGATTTATTTTCACAGTATTTTATGTTTAAATACCATTGCAATTCAGTCTGACCTCTTTCCTCTGGAGCCAAGTAATGCACACGGCATTTACAGTCTTTTAAATGGTTAGCTGGGAAATGCAATAAGCAATTTGCAGGAGTAGTTTACTAATGGGGAAAGTTCTTTTGAAAACCTGAAGTAAAACCTAAGAAAAGTACTTTTGCATTTCTACACTACAACTGTCATATAATTAAAGTATTGAAGAGCATTAAAATAATCCTCTTCCTTCCAAGCTTTCACCCATATATACATAATTTAACTGAGGATCATCCACCACCACCACCACCATCACCATCTAACTCTTCACCATATACATTTGTTTTAGTGATTGCTGGGCACACTTTGTTCAAAGTGAATTCAAACAGAAAAGAGTAAGAAGCACCACAAAGGCCTCAACGATGGTAAGTACACTGGTTAGAAGAATGAAAGGAGCCCCTTGTACTGCTAACTGAAAGTAGCTATAATACTTACAACATAACAAAAATCTAAAATGATAATAATAATAATTTTAAAACTCTTGTATGGCTAAATCCTTTTTGTATCCTGAAGTGAAGATATTAGACAATAAAATCTCCTGTGACAGTCAAAAATTCCTTAGCTAAATGCATCTACTATTACATTTTCTCTGCTTTTTTTGGAGGGGAAAATGGGAATGGAGGAGGAAGAAATGGCTAAATTAAAGAATAACTTAAATAATAACTTAGCATATTTTCTTTAATTTTTTTCTCTTTGTCTCATCCAAGCACATAAGGGTAAGTCTCCAAAAGGGCCTATCCTTCGGTTCTTAGGCTTTTTAAAATCCTGTTTTTAACAGAAGTTTGGGACACAGAGTATATGCCATGTTGTCTGCTGACCCATAATCAAAATG